TTTGGAAAAATGAGGTTGAATGGTGGGTATTTAGGTGAGGTGAGGTATGGGTATGAGCCATGAGGAGATGGAATCACATGGTCTTGGACCCAACCAACTTCCAAAATCCAAACCGACGTGCATCACATTAACAAATACATTTCTACTTGAATAAATTCAATGTACATAAATAGATTTGATTGATTCAACATTTTATAAATTCTTCATTTCATAAACCACGCCACACACTAAACAATTACAATCCGATGATAAGTCCCATTTATTTTATAACATCATCAAATGTTTATAATTTAATTTTTAATGAATTATGGATTTAGTCTCTGTGTTTTACTCTCTTTTTTAATTAGGGTTTCTTTGATGTGTTCATTATGGATTTGGTCCTTATGCTATTTAATTGGTCTTGGTCTTGGTCTTGGTCATGATCATGATTCCTCTGATTAACATCATTAAAATGAATTCGTTAACTCAGTTAAATCAAGTGTCATTTTAATCTTTTTGCCTACTTTTTGTCTTTTTTCTGTAAAAAAAAAATATAAAAACAATGTTTTTATACGCACAAATTTATAATAAGAATATCTAAATAAAATAAAATATTATTTTATGATTTTATTTATTTAAAAAAGCATTAGTTATATTAAATACATTTTAATTTTATTGTTTTAGTCTTTTTGCCTATTTAGGTATGAAAACTTAGGTTTTTCTTTGAAGCTTATACAAACATTTGTTCAAATTAAGTTATCAAGATGATACTATGTTTAAATCTCCTTTACGTTAGAATTGAAATACCTGATTTTGAGTTTTGGGTGAAGAACAATATGAAACCCTTTTGTGATGATAAAATTGGAGTTCATTTGTTGATGGTGTTAAAATATCGATAATAAGCTTGTTTATTGCAATTATGAGGAAAAAATATTTTTTTAATATAATTAAGTTTTCAATTTAAACAATTAAATCATAAAACAATATCTTATTTTATTTACTTTGATATATTTATTAATATATATATATATATATATATATATGTATAAAAATATTGTTTTTACTTTTTTTAATAGGAAAAAGACAAAACGACTAAAATGGTCATTGATTTAAGTGAGTTAATGAAAATGAATTTAGTTTAACGAATTTAGTCGGATGGACCAAGATCAAGACAAATTGAATACTACAAGAACCAAAACCATAATAAATATACCATAAGAACCTTAGTCAGAATAACTATCAAAACACATGAACCAAATCCAAAATTCACTCTTGAATTTATAAAAAAATATTTAATTTTACATTTTTAATATAGATAAATTAATCACTACTATAAAAAATCTTAGAAATACATTGTAATAAGTTAAATAGAAAAATAGGAAATAATGTAAGAAGTGCTTCAAATTATTGCTATTTGACTCGGACCTATTCTAAAAGTCAAGATATCTCGAATTGTTTGTTGACACAAACAAATTCAGGGAAAACCTTTGAAAAATTTTCAATATTGAAGCTTGGGTATTTAATGGTTTCAATTCTAATATCTTCAGAAAGAAGATCTTACACAAAGCAACAAGTTGTAAGAACCAGTGAGCTCTAAAGCAAAAGCGAAGTAAGCTGCGATTGCCTCTGCACTGGTTCAAGTAGGATAGGAATCTAAAACAGAATTCGATCAATTGGCTTTAACGAACCTATTTCATTAGAATGATCGAAGAACCCAATTATCTATATAAAGAGTTTGAGAGAATTAGAAATCCCTAATTTCATGCAAGTGCTATAATATGATTTGACTCTTCACGCTAATAACGAAATAAATGACATAATAAGAAGGTCCAAACTGAACGTACCAAACAACATCTATCTACAGACACTAAATCAAAAGTTAAATTTCATAAATAAGAGTTCAAAAAATACCAATCTATCAATTTTAATTTTAATTTTATTTAATTTCATACATCTAATTAACCAAATTATTAGAAACCTATATATATATGTCCTTAAAGAAAAGGCTAAAACCTGAGTCAAGAGTCAACAAATATGGACCCATTTTGTTTTGCGCACTTCTTATTATTCTATTTTAATATGTGGGTGAGTCATTGCATATTTGATAAAACCCTTTTTATTTTATCTACAACAAATAACAATGAATGCTTTGTTCATAATAATATAAAGAATATGAATATCAAATCTAAATATAATGTTTGCTACACCTATGAATTATTTTTATTTCTCGTTATTATATATATGAAACAACACATGTAAAATATGCAATGTTTGTATTATATTGTTTTATACTTACAACTTTCGAGACTATTTTGTAATTGGAAAAAAAAACATTAATATACGTTTTGTATAGAAACACACACATACACACCCATAGAAACGCAAGAATAAAATATGTGAAACAATATGAATCGTTAGTTTAGAAACAAAACTCATTAAATTATTTGAATTGATTATACGAGTTTGTAATTGTGAGTTTTCAAAATATAACGTGTGTATATATATTATATTTATTGCGATGTACTATTATTTTTATTTTTTATTTTACTTTTAGTGACTTATAAGTTGGTTATGAGTTCAATTTTTTTAAAACAAAAATATATATATTTATTATGATGAAACATCATTCTTGTGGTTTTAATTTTTATATTCATATATATGCATGCATGCGTACATACATAGGGGTATATTTTTTGGTTAATCCAATATATAACGTTAACTTTATGAATCAATCAGTATTCATCTTGAAAATCAATGAATTATATTTATTATGGTATTTATGTAATAATTAAGAATATTATGTGTTAGATTGGTGTATGAACATATATGAACAAGGGTATTATTGAAGAAAAAAATCTCCTCATTAATTAGCGCCCGGAAATTACTCCATCGAATAATAACCAATTTACATGCATACATACACATATATGGTGTTAGCTTTATTATTGTTCATAAAGTAAGTGACATGGTAGATCAATTTATTTTCATGCATGTATATGGTTTTAACTTTATTATTGTTCACTTATGCACATATGTCCCAACCAAAAAAATTCATTATGTTTACCTGATCATATGTGCGCTTGTGAACATTAATCTCACATGTTCACTTATGAACAATGAGATTCTATTCAACTTATTACATACGTGATAATATATGGAAAAGAGGGAAGTTGTTGATCAGTTTTTATGCTTAGGTGATATGTTTTTTTCAAAGATTTTGTGCTTATGTAATTTAGCTAGAATCATAGAACTCGATGTTTTTGTAACATGCTATTAATGCAAATGGATTTAATACAAAAACGAATATTACCAATGTATCTTCAATATTAATTGTATGGTGAGAGATGAACATAAATAACAATGGCTTGTGATTGGTCTAAAATGTTTGTATAGTTTTATACAATTTTCATTGATAATAAATGATCTTGGCTCTACACACATGTGCGCGTGGATGCATGTGCGCGCACGCTATAAGTTTTAGATTTTTTTTCAAAAAGAGAAATTATTAAAATGAGCTAACCCTTATAGAAATATAAATTTTGTAAAAAGCGACAACTGAAATGCGCCAATCCGGTGAGTTCACGAAAAAAAAATCCCCTCCTTTCATATACCCATTTTATTCTTCTATTTTTTTATAATTTAAAACAACCATTTTTCATGATTGAGTAGAATACTCAAATCTTACGGTGCCAACTCATAATCTTTGGTTTCATTTTAATATAATAATAATAAATCGATAATAAATTTCTATAACAAAAGGATGATTAAAATACGCCAGATCCATACACAACAAATATTTCGTCCTTTGATATACCTAATTTTTCCAACCTTATGAGTTCATATAAATGAATCATATCCTCCTCCGATACCTAATTCTTCTTTATAATCTTTCATCTTTTCACCAATTTGGATAACCAAAATCAAGTACATTTGGGTTTGGATAATTTCTTTTACTTTAATAGATAATAAATATATTACGTTATTGAAAAATGTTATATTATATAATGAATTGTTTTATCATGTAAATTATATAATTTAGCTCTTAAATCTTCATGGAATGTTTTAACCGTTTATACTTCTTCATTCTTATAAACATCTTCTGATCTATCATTAAATCACATCTTATTACCTATGGTTGTTACTTTAATAGATACAGAGATATTTTGATATATATATATATATATATCATCAGTTGAATAGTTCACTTGATATATCAAATTTTATATTAAGTCGAAATTTGTGTTTTCAAAAATAAATCAAACATTAGTTTGGATTAAGATACAAGATTGTTTAACAACAACTTTTTATTCATTATATGACTTGTATTAAATAACTTAAATAAAAATGATTATAATTAATTAACTTGAATATGACGATGATCAAACAAGTTCGCGTCCCAACCCCCTTAACTAATGGATGCTTAGGTACCTGCAACTGAATCTGTCTCAGTTCGAGTACGACTGATCATTCGAAAAGACTAGTTAAACGTCCCTCTTTTTTGACATACATGACGGGTATTATATTTTAATATAAAATTAAAAAAAAATAATATGAAAATTGAGTGAGTGTGTTTATGTAGCAAGCCACCCAATTTGGTGGCTACTGTTGCTTTTTACCTGCAACAATAATTATATATCGTGGAAAATTGGTGGCTAAATTTTGGACATTTATATCAAATTAAATAAATTCATTTTATTTAAAATATTTCTTTTAAATCTCTCTACTCATTTAGAAGTAATCATATCAAATTCAAGTTCATTTTTTTAAAATATCAGAAAGGGTATTTATACAATACAATAAAATACATTTCGGTTTTCTAAACATATATTAAGACATTTTATTTGAGATGGAATAAAAAGTAATAAATCAATTAAGGGGCTGAATATTATTTTCACATTTTTTAGCATTTAATGTCTACCTACTTATTTATAATTAAATGCTTGATAACAATTTTAAGTATTTTTCTTTATTGTATTTAAACAGACAACGTTATGAAATAACATTTGTATAGAACGCAAGAGTGATCGTTTTCAATCTGATTTAGATTCTAAACAAATGTAGGGTACGAATCCTTCTCCTCTGACAACATAAAACCTCTAGGAAGCTTTTCTCTCCCATTCATTGGATTCCTCAGCGACACAATCCCCCTCTCTACACAAAAGTTTTAGAAAGCTAAAACATATCGCAATTAAACCAAAAGGATGAGGATGGCCCGAAGGGCAGAAAGACGAGAAATTGAAAAAAAATCAAAACTCAGGCAAAACCAAGTACCATCTAGACCTAACATCAGTTCCCAACCGAAAGACGAAAACCATATAGCGGGTAAACACGTTTCTTTTGTGGTTCGTGCGTATCTATTTGGATGTCAAATGTAGTCGGTTTTCAACCACGACGATTCCCCATGAAGTGGTTAAAATCATGGTGTTGGACCCCTAATTGTCTCAACCAAGAATCAGCCACACTCACAAGCGAAACTAGCTTCTCTTGATCCTTCCTATTCCTACTCGAGATCCATACCTCCCCTTGCATCTTGTAAGTGGCTAGTCCAAACGGCGGAAGACGTATGCCTTCTCCTTCCTCTCTCTTTCTCTTTGAGAATCCAGTTTCATCTTCAATATCCACATCTACATTCATGCAGTATCGAGTAAGCTCCATTTTAAAGCGACTTTTGAAATAACAACGAAATACGATTTGTACCTTGAAATGAGGATGACAGGGTATGGTATGTCAGAAAACATGTCGACAAGTCTTTTATCGTCCTCCCCATAGGAATATGATATATCGGGTACCTGAAACATAACATTCAATCAATCAAACAAACATCATAATTTACGTTGTAAGAGCTAAATGACACGATTTTGTTCAGAATTTAATTCATTTCGACTATTAAAACCGACCATAATCTTCTTCCTTAATTATTGGAAAAACATACCAAGCAACTGCCATCCAAGTAGCGGCTGAAAGATCAACACTTCTTAACGACATTAATCCTGGGTACTTTTTAGATAACGCACAAACCTGGACGAAAAGAAAATACAAAATCAAGATAGAAAGGTAGATGAGAGAAAGATTAGGTGGCTAAATGGTATTCACAGCATATTATAGGGGGGTGTTTGGTAAAATAGAATCCACGTCAGCATGATTCACGCGGAAACTACTTGCCTCACTTCATCAAACACTACAAGCAAACAACTGACTATGTCAAAACAAAACCGTGTTACCCTCGAAAGCATGGCCCTTTTCTCGCATTTGCACGAGAGGGCAAAATGGTCATTGTGCTTCATAATATATATTAAAAAATAAAATCTTAAATCTTAAAAAGTACATAGATAGAGAGAGAGAAATAATTTATTAGTTAGATTAAATTTTACAAGTAATCTATTTTTCAAAAAATAAAATAAAACCGCACCTAATAAAATACCAAAATACTCGATTTTCAGCGTTTGTAAATATACAGATCATAATATATACATATGCAAAAGATATTATATTTATTCTTTATAATATCAATAAATATGGATTTTATTGTTAAAGGTAAAGTTACAAAATGGATCGATAACAATCAAGAAATGCATGTTGAAAACGTAATAACATAATTGTCTATCCCACGCAATCGACGCTTGTGAAGGTCGTTACCCACACACAAATCACTTGTAGGTGCAAAGAATGAAGCTATGTTTTCTGTTCAAAGAGATTTTTAATAAAAATACTGAATAAATCCATGTTTAAGCGTTTTTAATCGTATTTATTTATTATGTATAGATGATGTTGTAGACGTTATTCAACATTTATCATACCTTATCCACGAGAGGAACTCTTCCATAAGGAGTTGATCTATCAAAGTATTGGAAGTAAAGGTGACCCAACCGATCGTTCGGCTGGCAGGGTTTTTCTTGATCAAAAACACCTTCGTCTGACGAACATCCGTCCCATCTTGACACCTTTTCGCTCTCACTCTCATCACTCAATGAATCACTAAATGAATCCCTTGTTTCGGAATCTGTCTCTTCCCTATGAAATAAAAATATACTGGTTATTTTGTTGCAAGTGACGATGGTCTATCATATCGTCCATGTGGTGTTAATAAGTTGTATCATACCGATACAACTAAACAACACATATGAGATGCAGGCCATTACAAAACCCTCTTGGACTATACATAAAAACGTCTAAACAAAAAGCTTAACTTAAGTTTCGTTATTTTGTCAAAATTTGAATAAGACAAAAGCACATAGAATTGACGGATAACCAAAATACTTAGAAACACGATATCGTATAGTTGTTTCACTTATATATAGGATATCGACATCGAAAGTGTACATTAAGTCAAGGGGTATTTTAGACATTTAAAAGTAGATTGGGACATAATAATATTGTGAAGGGGATGATGAGTGAATTGTGATCTTTAGGGTTGGAAGAAATAGCAATACCTTTGATGGTTGAAGGATGAATTGGTTGTAAAGATTTGAATGGCGGAGAGATAAGGGACATAGTATTGGATGATGGTTTCATCTTGGCTTTCATCGACGTTGATCGGAACTCCGGCGCCATAAGCACTCCATTCGTCAAAACAATTCCACACATCTCCCAACGTGAAGAATTCAACTTTCTCTCTTTCCCATGGATGCCATACCCTATTCAGGTTTCTAATCTCACTCTACAAACACAAAAAGAACAAACAATTTTAACCAAAAAACAAGCAATATATATATATATATATATATATGAATTGATGAGAAACGAACCTTGGAGAGAAATTGGGATGGAACAACAGGAGTTGTGGAATCCAGGAAGCATTGAAGGTTGGATGATTTCATTGATCTTTTCTCTGAAACCATTTCTAGAGAGAGAAAGGAAGATTTTTAGAGGTTTTACGTTTCTCTCTCCTACCCTATCAAAACAGAGGAATCCTCAAGAAGAAGAAGAAGAAGAAGAAATCATAAACAGCAAAGGAATGAAAATGGGTTCGTAGAAGAAGAGAGGTTTTCGGGATTTCCTCTGGTTTTTTTTAGAGAGAGAGAGAGAGAGAGAAACTGATTTGATTGATGTCGTGATTTTAACAAGTGTAATTTATGGAGGAAAATTGCACGACTTTTAATTTCATTTATGTAAAAAAATATTTATTTATAATTACTAAAAACAAGAGAAAAAAAATCATCTTATGTCGGTGGTCGGATATCACCGGAAATTAGGGATTCCGGCGAAACTGTTTTCAATAAAACGGATCTAATCTAACCCCAACTTTCACTCCAAGAAAACGCGAATCAAGAATGGCGAGAATTGAAAGTTAATCAAAACCCAAAATTCAACAAAGAAAATGACAGAGTGGAATTAAAAGGGAAATTAAGCAGGTAACATGGAAGGAGTTGCAGCAGAGAGTAATGGTGGTGAAGAAGCGGTGTTGTAATTTATGGAAGAATTCAGATTTATTTATTTATTTAATTTTATTTTTTTTAAAGTAAAGTAGATGAGCATCACGTCTTATTTGTCCACAGTTTTGTTACTGCCTGCCAACAAAATGTTTGTTATGGGAAAGAGTCAACATAATTCTTTGATTTTATTTTTATTGTGAATGTGGTCTCATTTAATATTTTATTTCTCTATTCATTCATGTCTTAAACGGTAATAATTTTACTTTTTATTTATTTATTTTATCTTTGATTTTTCTCTATAAAAATATCAAGTATATAAAAAAGTTGATATTAGTACTAAAAAAGAAAAATCAAAACAAGGAAGAAATTAATTAAATTTATGTAATCATACGAATGTCTGGATCACGATTTTTTTCTATATAAAATAACTTACAATAACATGTGTTTTCTTCTTTAAATGTGTAAATACAACATGTTTCGTTTTTTTTTAATTCTTAAAGATGATTTATTCAACAATTTGATAAGTTAAGAAGATTTCATATCAAACATGTTATACAAATTATAGCCGAGGATATAAAAATGCAATGATTTTCATCCATGAGCTCAAATTTAAAATCAGTTATGGATCCAGAAAAAATATCGTTGTCAACATAATATAAAATAAAATATTAATTAAATAAAAACAAACAAAATTGAAGTAAAAAACATCACTCAACTAAGATAATAATGGGTGTTGGGGGCCTTTTTTCTGTTTGTAATTTGCCCCTATCCCCAAGCCTTCGATCCGACGGTTTAGGTAGAGTATATTTACATACAGTTTATTTTTGCATGAAATAGAATAGACAATTAATAGTTTATTAATATGAATTTATGATTTTATTTACAATATTAAAGTTATTAATATTTGCCTAATGAACGTAAGTTTAGGGGTTGCAATGCATTTAACTAGAACCTAAGGACTATATTGGAAGATGGATGTTTACAATCAACATCAATTCAAATAATATTTCTATGTAAATTCTTTGATTTAATGTTGGTTTATTAATTACACATACAAATTATACAATACAAAGGATTTATATTAAACTATAAATTTGGTCTATGTGGTTTGTTAAAAGTAATAACTTTTGTTTTTACGATTTTAAAATTACAAGATGGTTATTGTAATTTGTCAAATTGTCTAGATTTGATCCTCCATTCTAAGGGTGCGTTTGGTATGCATACTACATAGGACAGGACGGAACAAAAAAAATAGTTTCATGTTTGGCATGTCATGGACAAAAAAAACATGGGACAAGGTGGGATTATTTTTAATTTTCATGGGACAAATTTTTATATTTCTTGTTCCACCAAAAAAGGTGGAACAACATGGAACTAAAGTTAAAATACAATATTACCCTTGTTATTTCATTCCAAGGGAAAACCTAATTCATCCCATTTGTGACAAGCCCTTTCGAATGTAAAAGTTCTCCTTTATACACCTTTTCGTAGCTGCTCTCCTCAACGACATTTTCATGACTAAAGTTATTGGTGGCCTCTTTTATATCTTTCAAAGGGATTCTGTATTCATCCAATTCTTGGAGGAGCAACATGAACTTTCAATTTATCAGATACGTTTGGAAGAGGAAAAAAAAGGATTAATTGCAAGTACAATCTAAAAGAATAAACCGTGGTTGCAAATGACGAAAGTGAAAGGTGGGTTGAATAACAAGTCAAAATAGGTAATATTTAAGTATGATTGCCGGGTTGGCTAGTCGACACCTTTTTGCCATTTTTTTGGATATATGTTTAATGTATTAAACTTGATTATTAAAACTATATAATTAAAATATAGTTTGGTTGATTTGTTGTCATTTTATAATAATTATATGATATAAAATAACATTAAACAACATTTAGGGGCAATATGGTTATTTTAATAGTTTTGTCATGTCCTGTCCTAGTCGTACCAAACATAGGATAGATAATTAGTCTTGTCCCGTCCCGTCTCGTCCCGTCCTGTCCAGTCTGCGTACCAAACATTACCTAAATAACATTACAAATTATGTTAAATAAGAGGTATTTTCGTCATTTTATTGATTTTTTTTTTGTCTTTTACCAAAAATCAAAATTAATTTTATGATTGTGGTCCTGTGATTTTTGATTGGCTAAAAGACAAAAAATGGATAAAAAACAAAAACAGTTTTTCATTTAACGAAATTAATAACGCCCGTTAGAGGGAGGGATCAAATCTTGACGTTTTTACGAACCACGATGGTCATTTTGTAATTTCAAAACTAGAAGAACGAAAAATGTTACTTTTAAAAAACCATAAGGACCAAATTCATAGTTTACTTAAGGATATATCCATCTTTATTAAGTTTTTAAGATGATCTTAAATTTGAAAATTCTTTTTTCAATTTGGATATACATTTTACACAATAAATGTTGGAGCAAAAAAAATCTCCAAAATCCCCACATTACCATAGCTGTTAAAGATCCTTTAATGTTTGTATTATGGAGTTGAATAAAAGGTCCAAATGTTGTCTATTTGATGCTAATAATGTTACCATTTTGGCGTTGAAAAACAAAGGATCGATACTTCATGAAAATCAAAGCATGATTCATGTAATTATGACGTTTAAATGTATAAAAGAAAATGAATGCGTTTAACCATCACATATTTGTGCGTTTCAATGAACATAAATTTGCCCAAGACAATTTCAAAATCTAAATAATACGTTTTGATYATCAAAAGATGAATTTTTTTCGAAAATACATATAATCTAATGGGTGTTGAGGGCCTTTTTTTAATTTGGAATTTGCCCCTATCTCCAAGCTTTCAATCCGACGGTTTAGATAGAGGATACTTATACACAGTTTATTTTTGTATGAAATAGAATAGACAATTAGTAGTTTATTAATATGAATTTATGATTTTATTTACAATATTAAAGTTATTAATATTGCAAATGAATTATAAGGGGTCATTATGTTATTTGCCTAAGGAATGCAAGTTTAGGGGTTGCAATGCATTTAACAAGATGTTTACATCAACATCAATTCAAATAATATTTCTATGTAAATTCTTTGTTTTAATGTTGGTTTATTAATTACACATACAAACTACACAGTACAAAGGATATAGTTCATGTGGTTTGTCAAAAGTAATATTTTTTATTCTAACAGTTTTGAAATTACAAGACGATTATTGTAATTTGTAAAAGCGTCTAGACTTGGTCCTGTACTCTAAAGGGCTACAAATTATGCTAAATAAGAGGTATTTTCGTCATTTTATTGATTTTTTTTTTTTGTCTTTTACCAAATCAAAATTGATTTTATGATTTTGGTCATGCGATTTTTGATTGGCTAAAAGACAAAAAATGGATAAAAAACAAAAATGTTTTTCATTTAGCGGAATTAATAACAGCCGTTAGAGGGAGGGATCAAATCTTGACGTTTTTACGAACCACGATGGTCATTTTGTAATTTCAACACTACAAGGACGAAAAGTGTTACTTTTGACAAACCATAAGGACCAAATTTATAGTTTACTCAAGGATATATCCATCTTTATTAAGTTCTGAAGATCTTAAATTTGAAAATTCTTTTTTCTATTTCGATATACATTTTACAATATAACTAGAAGGGTACTCATGCATTGCAACGAGATAAATCTCCAATCTAAAGTCTACTTTTTATTCTTTGTCTATATCGATATAATACAATTTTATGTGGTTTTGAGAAAACGATAATGTTTTTATTATTTGAATGAAATATAAATTTAAAGATAACATAAAAATTTGAAAAAAATAAAATCGATATTAGTATCACATTAACTATTTAATAATTATCGTTTTTTGGTATAACTTATTTAATTCAATTATTTATAATAATTTAATTTAGATTTACAATAAAGTAATTATATTTGGTTTAATAATATAATTTTTTATAGAGATAATATTAGAACTCAATAATTATCGTAATTATATTTTAGATTTTTTATATTTTAAATGAATGTTTATCCTGTATTTGATTATGTTTATCTGCAGTTAGTTACACAAACTTTAAAATGAAACTTTAATAGGTTATACTTAAGCAAAATTACTTGTAAAATTGAATTTTAAGTAATATACATAAATAAACAGTACTTCATGCATAAAAAATGATTTTTAATTTTTTTTATCAAATGCTTTATAATATAATATAGATTGTTGGAGCAAAAAAAAATCTCCAAAATCCCAACATTATCATAGTTGTTAAAGATCCTTTTATGTTTGTATTATGGAGTTGAATAAAAGGTCCAAATGTTATCTATTTGATGCTAATAATGTTACCATTTTGGCGTTGAAAAACAAAGGATGGATATTTCATGAAATCAAAGCATGATTCACGTAATTATGGCGTTTAAATGTATAAAAGAAAATGAATGCGTTTAACCATCACATATTTGTGCGTTTCAATGAACATAAATTTGCCCAAGACAATTTCAAAATCTAAATAATACGTTTTGATMATCAAAAGATGAATTTCTTTAAAAAATACATACAATCGTTTTAAACATGCCGTCAATATTATTTCAGGGATTTATAATTATTTTATAAAACCTAAAAATATATCACATGCAAATACTAATTTGATTTGCATGTAAACTTCAAAACTAACTTAAATATATTTTGAAATTTTGGCATCCAAAATATAATGCTAATAATGACGATTTAATAATGCATTTATTAACATGATCGATTATGCATCCATTGTTAACAAA